CATTCCCTCTACTTTTAAGTCCTAACAAAACTCAATCTTGAAGGTCCTGCCCTGGTAACTTTATCATATCCAAAGTCTCCATCTTGGGACACTGAAAGAATTAAGCTTTTACTTAATATCTTTGCAATACAATCAAGCCTCAACACATGACTTTCTGAGGGACATCACTGTCCACTAAGACCAAAATCCAAAACATGAAACTTTGGGGAACCATGATCGAAGACATAATATCTTGTCACTGTAACTCTACACGAATCATTGAATTACAAGAGTTTTCCCACTTCCAATCTTTGCAGGCAGAAACCAAGGATGTCCAGTTTGTCACAGAAGGCAGGTGCCAAAGTCAGGGCTTGGGCTAGTGGAGTTAAAGAGAAACTTAGAAAACTGAGTGCTTGGAGAAGGGGATTAGGTATAAACACCCCTTCAACCTTATACAGCTCCCTTCTGGTTAGGCATCTATGTCTTCAATATTTTGGGTACCTTTGGGACTGTGCTCTGAGAAGTCTTCATTTTTTCCCTTTTTCTTCTGTTTTTGAAGGATAGGCCAGTTGTTCCGATGTCATCTCTCCTTCCTCTGAATCAGGACAACTGGTGCCAGCCCCTTGTGGCTCTAGTTTAGCATCTTTGACTTAAAACTTCCTGCACTCTGGTTCTTCCAGTTTTCACATTTTTACTCTTCAACTTGATCATTTTCCTTCTTTGACTCCTTTGAGAAAAGACAGGATGAATTCTTGCCAAAAGAGTAATCTGTCAGTTCCTCAGAGGACACCAAGTCTTCTATCTGTCCACCTTTGAACATGTTTGCGTCAATCTGACTGCTTTCGTTTTCCTACAACTTTAGTTTCCTTGGTCCGAAATGGCTTCGGCATTAATTTTTGTCTCCTTCAAATTCACGGTTGTATGTGAAAATGCTGTTCACAATTCCCTCAGATGCGACCGATTGCGTCCTCCATTTAATTTTTAATTATGTTTTCATTAAAAAGCTAATTTCCCTGTTCATTTTTTTAGTGTAAACTTTTTACTAGATTATAACATACATATAAAAAAAAGCTCATATTATATGTACAGCTGGATGGATTTTCACAAAGTGAACACATCTGTGCAAACGTAATACAAATAAAAAATGGGACATTCCAGGAACCCAGAAATTCTTCTATGTTCTTTATAGTCACTATCTCATGAGTTTTGCATGGTTTATAACTTTATATAAATTTATCAGTTACTAATGTTTATTTATATGTGTCTGATAATTCCATTGTCTGATATGTTTAGAGTCTGTTATTTGATGATTTTTCTGACATTTTTTTGTTTTAAAATTTTGGATTTTGAGCTCATGTTCAGAGAGACAAACCTGAGAATTCTGTGATGCAACCAAAAATGCTTTCCTCCAAGGAAGATTTGTGTTGTCCAGGATTCCTAAGGAGTTACTGTGAATTCTTGAACTCAGCTTCTGGCCCTTAGTATTTCTCTGCCCACATGTATAATGATTTTAAATGTCATTCTACATGGATGTGGGGTTATGGTTAGAAAATATCAAAAGAACCATTTTTCTACTCCCGCGTGGAGTTGTGTCTGAAAACCAAATAACCTTTTAATTTCCTTTCATTAAGGAGATTTCCTCTCCATGTCCTTTCTTTCAATGAAGATGTGATCTTCTGAGAACCCTGGATATATGTAGATGTCTTAGGTCCAACTCTTTACTTTATATGAACCTGTTCACTTGACTGTTAAAATTGAAGTTTCACAGTTTAACTCCATGATAAAATTTAGCATCACTAATAATGGTACAAGTTGTTATCATGAGGTTCTCCCTAATATGATATAGGAGAAATAAACATCGCCAATGTAGCATTTTTGCTAAACATCTTTAACCTGTGTCTACTCACAAGGAAAAGAAAAATCAGACAAATCCAGATTTTGGCACATTCTATAAGACACTTGACAAGTGTCAATGTTATAAAAATTCAGAAATTCTCTGCAAAGACAATGCTTTTTTTTTTCCCTGAGAAGTTTAATTAGGAGTCTCATGCATCTTTTCTTGAATGAAATATCTGAATCATCAATGGTATAGTCTAAAAGATGTCTTGAGAGGATACAACTTTGGGAGCAAAAGAAATGGAAATGAATGTACCTAGAAAAAATGTGAAAGAATCAAGGAAAGTAGAATTTTCAGGATTTGACTATTTATTTAGGATATGCTAGGAAGGTAGAATAATGATTGACCTCCCCTACGCAAAAGATATCTTCTTCCCAAAATTTAAACCTGTGACTATGTTTAGGTTACATGTCGAGACGTCAGGATTGCAGATGAAATCAAGGTTACTAATCAGCTGACTCCAACATAGAAGTTTCCCATGGATTATCTGGGTGGGCCCAATACAATTGCAAAGGTTCTTAAAATGGAAAGGGGGGGGGCACAGAAAAGAGCCACAGAATCGAAGTGTGAAAGGATTCAGCCAGCTTTGAAGATAGAAGAATGGAACTAAGAACCAAGAACATGATAGCCTATAAAATCTAGAAAAATCAAAGAAACAGATTTATCTCCTAGAGATCCAGAAAGGAACACAGCCCTGCCAACACCTGGATTTTCATCCCAGTAAGACTTGTTTCAAGACTTTTGACTTCAGAGCTGAAAGATAATAAACTGTGTTGCTTTAAGCAAATTTTTTCTTTTTTAAAAGGATAGTAAGAAACTAATACAAATAGAATTGAAGAGAGATCACTAGGAAGGATTCTTGGAATGAAGGGAATGAAGGAACAATCCACACAAATGGAAAATACCAATAAAGGAAACAGATTGATTTTGAGCGCAAAGCAGGGATAGGAGGCAATCTAGTGAGGGAGTCAGACATGTTTTTATTAGAGCTCTGTCTCTTATGAGCTGTTTAAACCTGGTCAAGATATAGTTGGTCATCAGAAAAGTCATCATGTATTTTTGCATAGAAAAACAGAAAAATAAGTCATGACTTTTCTGACAACCCAATATAACCTCTCTGGGCCTCAATCTCTTTGACCGAAGTGGGAATAATACCATCTTCATGGGCTATTACATAAAAGACTAAGTGCAATAATTTATGTAAGGTCTTTTTACTTGGCATGTGCTCATATGTTGATTAAATATAATAATGACATAGAATATGTGTCTTAGGCATTGTGTTTTGGTCACCATGGGCCATTAAACACCACTAGCCACTTGTTTTATAACTGAACTGTCAATGTAATGAAAACTATAGATGATCTTGCTTCTGTGTTTAGAAAGACTACCACCTGGATTATCTGTTTAAATTATTATGTTCCAGACCTATATATGCATTCTGAAACTTAAAAGATGCAACTACACTTGTTTTTTAAATTCGTATTTCTTTTAAACCAGACCTTGGATTTGCTCTTACAAAACCCATGTAGCTGGCCTAAAGCCTATGAGAATGCAATGCTCATTCAGGACCACTAGAGCCAGAAAAGAACTGTCTAGTCCTGGAGCCTAGACACATAGAAGGGCAGAAAGAGTATGGCCATTAGAGAGATGAACATGAGATCCAAGATATGGAAGAAAATGCAACCAGGATCTACCCTATCGGGGTAGATGTTGTTTGTTTTTCCCTCTTCCAACAAAACTTTTTTTTTTAACCATCAGATCAAATCTGATCCTATCTTGGGCCAGTGCCATAGCATGTTGGTTAAGGAAACTGGATCCTACATGACCAACTGCTATTCAAATCGTGTCCTAATGTCTGAAAAACATGCTGTGCATATGAATGAGTGTCCCAAATCCCAATAAGGTGGAAAGACGGAGAAGGAATTATGGCATGATCACATCCCAGAAGGGGGTGCACTCTCTCTCCTGTGAGCACACATACCCTCTGGCAATTAAAAGAAAAATGATCCTAACTTATCTTTCATTCTCATGGAGAGATTTCTTTACTGATGACTATAGGAGGCTTTTAGGCTTTCTATCTATTCTGTTACTTCTAAGTCATCTATGATGAGAATTTTCAAAGTTACACTTTACCTATGAATTAAATTAGCTACCCTCATTAAAGACTCTGACAGTTACAGTTATGCCAAGCTAACTAAATTGGAAAGAGATACAGCTAGTCCAAATGTTAACCAATTTCCTGGACAGAGGCTTCTATTATATGAGCACTCCATGGCATCTCTGGGCCTAGACTGGCAAAGCATCAAAGCTGAGATGCCAAGGTTCCCACATACCAACCTTCTAATGAGGCTTTATTTGTACGTGTTTCAGTAAGGTTTCAACCCTTGATTAAAAGGTGCAAATATAGATGACTCACCAGCCCAACCTTTCAGCAATGTGGAAAATTGGTCAAATTTTGCCTTTTGGAAAACTAGAAAGAAGTGCCCTAATTTAAAAAGGGGCTATAGACTTTTCAGAAGGGAACACAGCATTATTGGCTGAAATGGATACAGGCATGACTTTGTATTTATAGCACCTCCCATTAGAAAATTCTCAGTGCCCTACATGGGAAGGCCAAGAAAAAAAAAAAGTATTTTGTAATTGAAAAGAAATTCTAAGACAGAAGGCAGAAATCTCTAATGTTCTAGTCCAAGATTTTCTTGTATATTTATAGAAAGCGTTTACCTAAAAGTCAAATCAGCCTATTCTTGTCCATGAGAAGTCAGGATAGAGAGTCTGAAATTTCAAATACATTCCTATACTATTAAGATGAGGCACTCGGGAGACAAATCTTTTTATAAAAAAATTTATTTCTCTGTAAATACAAATTCCAACATCACAAACAATAGTCCAGTGGAAAAATACTAGTCGTTAACATTGAAAACTTTTTTCTTAATTTAATAAATAGAACTTTGGCATTCAAAATTCTAGCTGTAAACCCTATTAAAAAACAAAAACAACCTCTTTACAAAAAAAGAGGCAAAAATGATAGATCAGAAGGCATAAGCCAACCAGTGGCTTCACATTCTTTTTACAATAACTGCATTTCAATTAAGTCATGAACACTGTATTTACACGTGAGGTATTCTGGGTGGTTCAAAAACTGAACCAAAAACCACCAGTCACAGTGACTGATCATACACTCTGCTGTGCTTTTCACATAACCACCTAGCACCTTACAGCTTCCTGTCATCACACCAATGTGATGCTGAATCTTATGTTTACATATTTAAATAACTATTTACACACATATATACACATATATACACACGAATGAATACATTCTAAAGGGGTTTCCTGCTTACTCTCCAGAAAAGGTTGGGCTCCACAAACACGTATCTGGTATTCATGTTTACTAAGGTAAGGTATCCACCTAGTAATGAAAAACTGTTGCTTGCTTTTAAAAAGTCCTTAATCAAATCTATTTATAGAAGAACAAGGTGCAATAATCATCAACATTCTCATAGCTCATGTAAAACAGAAATGAATGCTTACTGCAGGCAAAAGGCACAGAAGGTTCTGTTTGGAGCTGCAAATAGTGTTAATGACATATTGATTTGAAACTACATTCTTATTATATTCAATATTTCCATTAAATAAAAAAAACATTTTCCCTTCATGATTAAGTATATGATATAATCACAGGGCAATATAACCACCATGAGATTTGGGGGCAAAGTTGGATATTTTACTTTTTATAACAAATATGAAATAGTTTCTTGTTTTGTGAACATTGAAAAGAACTATCAAAAATGCAAATAAAACAAATTAACTTTGGTTCAGAAAGTTACAGCTACCAGCAGTTTCAAATGATACAGTTTGAGTGAGCACGGTTATGAGAATTACTTATTACCATAATTACATATCTACAGCGATCGAAATCTACGTAAGAGAATGCCAGTAACCCAAAGGAAGGTGTGCCTGGGCTGAACCATGGTATGTAATGATGTAGGACAGGTTTTCAACTACTGCATTACTTAATGACCGATTATTGGCATTTAAAGAACATTTTCTCAATAAAGTAGTTCCTTTAAAAAATCCTCTAAGAGATCCCTACTAACAAGTCTTACATTATGACCGAATTAATTTATAAGCTGATTAGTAAGTCAGAAATGTACAATATTCATTTTAACAAAATTGTCCAGCCCTTCAGGTTGTCTCTAGTAGGCTATTCAAAGAAGTCTAATTTAGTTTAATAAACTGTCACAATCAAAATAAATTTCACTAAAATATAATACTGTCAACAATAAATACTGAATCCTATTTCAAATACTAACTGGGGCCACATGTACTTTAAAACAAATTCAGGCAACCTTACCTAGTCAATACTTATAACTTTTTAAGATTTATTAAGTTTAACTAAAGGCATCTTATTTTTCTCACATCAAACAAAGACAGCTATTGTGTCTTTGATTCAGTTAATTTTATCTGCACAGGTAACTTGACTCTTTCATTGAGACAACTGTTACTTTATCCCCGCCGTAATGTGACGAGGCACAATAAGCTCAACGTCAAAACCCAAAAGACGAAGAAATGTCAATACTGCATGAGAGACTACCTAAGAGGATAAGTATCTAATTCACAAAAGCATAATTAAAAAGAGGCTTCATTATCTAAGTGAATTTTCAAATATATTTACTTAAAATTTAGGCTAATTTTCATTTCAGGCACACAGTACTGTAAGAACTTCCATGAATACCCTAATTGAAACTGGGGAAGACACTACAATGTAGTGTCCATCTTACTTGACCTAACAGTAAAATTTTGTTTTTCAATATGACACCAATACTACTACTGTTTAACACAAGGGGGGGGGGATTTTCTGGTAAATACTGACAAATTAGAACACTAGTTTCATTCACCCCACCCACAAATTCCCTCCAAAGCTCTCTACTTATTATCAAGGCCCCTCTACAAACTTCAGATTCTAAAAAATTAACTTTTACAATTCAAGATTATACTTAAATTATCACATTTTAAGCCTCCCTTTCATGAGGAGTATACATTTTAGAAACTGAAATGCATAGTTTATTTCCTACCAAGATAAAAGAGTTTTTACTTCCAGATATGAGAATTAAGTTAAAGTTTATAAAAACTTTCTAAAAATTTTTAAAAATATTTTATCTCAACTAAGCCAGAAAATAAAAATGTATTTACAGTAGACTAAGACAAATGGCCATAAGTTTAAAAAAAAAAAAAAAAAGCAACAATGACAATGATCATGAAACTCTACAACATACACTAGAAACCTAGAAGATATTTAAATAAGAACCTACTGACCCAAGCCAGTGACTGCCCATTAATTCTATTGTTTTAGGGATGCCTTTATTTCTGAAATCACAGTGGGGTGAGGATTCTCTTCAAAGAGAAGGTAAAAATGTTTGCTGCACTTGTGGCTGATCTATTTTAGCTGTTATTCTTTACTACAATGTAAAAGGCCATTTGCATGTATTTTAAGTTTTACAAAGGCAGAATTCTTAGCATCATATTTTTGGTACATATTTACTACTCCCTGATTGTCTTTAAACCACTAACGTTGAAAAACGAACCTATTACAGAACCAAGTTCTTGCAGTGGCTACATCTCTCTATAGGTTAGCGACCCTGGTTGCACAATCACGACAATGCACTGATTTCTTTGTGCCCAGATCTTAAGAAATAAGAAAAGTAGGGAGAATTCAGGCACCAAAATAAGAGAAGTTTGATATTTTCATAATATATTATAACCAACGGTTGAATTATAACTCTAAAATAACTTGAGCTTTCCGTAAGCCAACATTCTGAACTGAGTGTTTTCCTGAGTAGTCTCCTCAAAAGCCTTGTCTCATGTATGTTTTTACTAGCGAAAATATTTAAGAAATACCTTTTCTAGGAGTAGCCTTTGTACCAGTATATAAACGGGGCAGGAAAACAGGCCTCCAATCTGCTCTTTACCAAAACATTTATCCTGCCCATTTCACACCTTTTAACTCTCCATCTCTTAGTCTGCAATTGATGAACATTGGTTGCTTCAAGATATCAAGTCTTACAAAGGACGTGCTTTGCTGTAACTAAGAATATTCAAGAGGATGTAATGAATGCTCCAAGGGCAATAAAATATACAGTCCTTACAAAATGTCAACTAAAACATGGATAATACTCATTTAAACATTTAAATAATTATTTGCCTACTTAAAAAGCAGTTGCATTTCAGAGTAATACCCTGTACTCCAGAAGAACTAATTTGACCAAATTTGTATTTTATGAAAAACCTTTTTAATATACTTTATCTGATAATGGGAATTAAAATATCATCTGGATTTAGATTTTGTTTTATGCTAGTGTTAACTCAGATATATAAAGAATAGGTCAGTTGGCTTTCTCTTAAAGTGATCTCAACTTTAAAATAGCTATAAAACTGTTAAAATGTAAACATTGAGATTTGAATAAATAAGCTATTATTCCAGGGCTACTTTCTAATCTCTCTTTTACAATAATAATATGAAGCCTTAGAAGGTCTATATGAATGACATATGGCTTTGTTTATACTGATGTATGAGTAACATATAAATTAAAAATTGTAAGTAGTAAGGGACATGTTAAAATTAGTTCCAATTGGATCAAACTTTTTGTGATGTATGAACCATAATATTAATGAAAAAATAGTCATATCAAAATTTTACACCCCTAAGGCAATCCACAATCACTCTGGGAAAACATCTGACCTACCTACAGTACTAAATTCAATTCCACGACCTCATCATCTCAGCAGTTATTGTTCAAAATACAAATATTTCCCTGCTGAATTAGAACTACTAGAACATGTGCCTGCTGCCGAAACTCTTGTTCAGCCCTTGAGAGTCCCAAACTACAACATGGGCTTCTACATGAAAGAAATGTAAGAATACACAGTGCGTGCCTTTCGTAGGAGCTTCACTTTGACCCTAGCAATCCTTATGGGTTTCTGAGTAAAGCACACACACATAACACACAAACATGCATGCACAAACAAAACTGTAAGATTACAAGAAATCCTATCCCTTTGTCTGAAGGGCACTTGTCACAGCTTGGTCCTACAATCAGTAGTTTGAGAATACTTTTTTTTTTCCTCATAGACTTCATCACAATTTTCAAATGATACTTAGATTTTTTGCCTGATTAGCTAAGCCCCTTCAAACCAGCTCACAACCTCTTTCCCCCTCAATAAAACAAACCCACAAAGTAGGGGGTAGGGAGTTGGGCAGGACACCTATGTGAAAGTCCTATGTCACTAGCAACTTTCCATTTGGCTCCTAAAAAGAAATACGAAGAAGAGTAACACAGCAGAATTGAACAATGGGTCATTATTGCTGTGGGACCAGCACTTGATTACTGGGTAACGCAGTTGTCTCCCATGTCCTGAGCATAGCGGTCTGATATTGTAGTCCTTAATTCATCAATGTCCCTTCGCAACTGGCACACATCTGACAGTTTTTTAGTGAGTGTTTCTGGGCTGTGGTCATTCTCGGTCTCTTCAGCTGAACAGTTCATGGCTGTGCAAATAAAGTATGGAGATAATGTCTCACAATTTTTGTTGAACAAAGACATATCAGGAATTTTTACCTTAATCACTATTGGAAATACAATGCTATATACTGAATAATAGTGAAGCTCAGGTTTAAATTAGGCATCATTCAATATTAAACACATCTTATCTGCTTGGTCCTTTTAGAATGCTGCTAATCAACATGCATTAAATTCATATGGTTACATACAAATTCAAAATGCTAAATGGATAACCATATTTCCAAAGTGAAAAGAGTATGCTCTATTGTCTCTTGTCATTTTCTATAGTCTGCTCAACTAAAGCACTCAGTTCTTCCCATTTGACAAAATCTGAAAATCATTTCTGTAGTGAGAGGTGGCATCTTACATTTTCATGATAAAATGAGTTTATTTGCATAAAAATATTAATTAAAAAATATGGTAAGTACATAAACAGATGAGAGAAGGAACTCTACAAACCCTAACAGTTTAATCAGGCCAATAGTTAGCTGCCCAATGGCTAAAAACGTGAAGGCAAGGCTAGCTTTTAACTACTCCAGTTCCCCTCTTTGTAAGTGTATCTCGACAGTAAAGCAGGCAGCCAGTAACTATACACTTTTCCCATACCTTCTTTGGCCCTGATAGCTTACTAGAAGCATCAGAGTCAAATAACTTATTTTAATAAACATTAATTGAATATCTGCCAAGATCCAGGAACTATTCTAGCTGTTCAGGTCAGCAAGGTGGCTTGCTTTCGATGCTTTTCACACAATTCATCAACAAATGAACACAGTGAAGTACTAAAGGTGGTCTACCACTACACACAAGCTGCAGCAGCTCAAAAGGATGAGAACAACCAGGCCGAGCTGGAGAGGTGACAGGTACAGTACCCCACTCTAAAGTGGCATAGCACCGATGACGAGATGAGATGAGAGAGTGCCGAGAAATGAGTTCCAGAGGGAGGCTGGAGCTACCTTTCTCTATCACAGGTGGTCACAGTGCTGGGGCACCAGATTCACGATTTAGACAGATCACCCTGACAACAATGTGATAAAACAGGCTGAAGGGAAGGGTTAACAAGACAATGGACAGAGAGACTAGTCCAGGTGAAAGGCTATGAAAACTTAAACTAAGGCAACAGCACAATGAAGAGATGATGGCAGGAATAAATGTTAGACCTAGGAAGAAGATAATAGAACTGGAAAAGTTCAACCATCACCAACATAGGGGCAGGCCAGAGATTGAGCACTGGTCACAAGTAAATGAAAAAGCAGGATGGAGGATAAAGTGTGGGCTGGGGTGGTGGGTGGCTGTGGTGCTTCTCTCTGAAGAGAGGAGGAGGTTTTTTTTTGAGTTTATTTTGCCAACGTGATGCCTATCGAACAGTTCCTATGTACAGGTAAACATAATTGGGAACCCAGAAAAGGCATTCCAGGCATGATAAAGTGTATACAGTAGAAAGGTATACCACTAACAGAAAACAACAGAATATAGATTACTCAGAGAAAACACTGACTAAAAGGGGAAACCAACCAAAACACAAACAATAATACAAAGCTCCTGACAATACCAATAGTGAAGTGGCAGAGAAGTCCACGGAAGTTTGGGACTGAGCAGTCATAAAGGTAGAAGCAGAACCTAGAGAAAACTGCCATGGAAACCAAGGCAGCAGAGTTTTCAGAAGGGTTAAGTGAACATGTCACTGATACCCCAGTAGAATCATGAGATAAGAGGATCCATTGGTTTTTGACAGGTTAACTGGCTTGTCAACTTTTCACAATGCCAAATAGAAGGTAAGAATTCTGGGGCTGAACTTGAAAGAGCAGAAGGAATACCTATTGGGAGGGGAAGGTGTTAAGATTCTTGAATCGCTCTTTTATTCATATTATAATATCTCCATTAACCTATTACTGAAAAAGCAAACAAATGCTGTCTCAGGTAGTGAAAATAAAAAAAAAAAAAACTTCAAAATAATTGGAAGGAATAACAGGCTCTAAAATGGTTGAGAAAATGAATTTTTGTTTTTTTTTGTTTCAAGAGATCATTTCTAACTAAACTACCTTATGTTCATCTGGCAAACTTCTCTTTCCCCGAAGGTGCATACTGAACATGAGCTACTCCGTGAAGCCTTCAGAGCCCTTCCTACATAGATTTAGTTGTTCTTCCCACTGATGTTCCCACTGTCCTAAATCCACCTCTCAACTAAAGCATTTATTGCAATGGTCTAATAATCGGGGTAATGTAGGTAAGGGCTTTTACCAGCACCTAACCTACCACCTGGACTATGGAAAATGCTTACTCAGCCAGCAAATAAACTGAAATGTTAAGTGGTTTTTACATATCTATGCTCATACATATGTATACACACCTATGAAGAAGAGAAAATTCTGCTAAGATTGCTGAGCAGATACATAATTTTTGAAAAAGTGATATACTTTGATGAAAAGCATTATTTGATTTGCCAAAATACCTAGTATGATGTAAGATAATAGAATCTTTCTGATGAAATACAAACAAAACCTGTTTCCTCTCTAGTCACATATTGAATCACATTATTTAGCAGTTACTCAGTATAATATAATGGTTTATAAAACATGTTCTTGACCTACTTTTATTTCCTTATTGAAGTTCACTTCTTCTGTATGGAAAAGAGACCACCAGGTTCAGCTGTGGTTATGTGCACTGGTAAGACATTGTGCTCTAGAGGCTAGAAGCACATGGGAAGTCTGGGTTCAATTACCAGTCCAACCTACGGGAGGGAAGCTGGAGCTACCTCTCTCCAGATGTGGTGGTGTGTAAGGCTAATCCCACCAACTTCAGGAGGCTGAGGTAGGAGGATCTCTAGCTCAAGGTGGACCCGAGCAACACAGCAAGACAATACGTAAGAGTAGAGTGAGGAGTGATGGTGTGTACTTGGGATGTCCACAAAGAAGCTAAGGAAGGAGGATCCTGACAGCGAGACTTTGTCTTAAAAGAGAGAGAGACATCAATATGATGATATTACACTAATTTGGAAGCATATGCAGAGATGTATGTTCCTACAGAGGTAGCACTGGATATTAGGATATAACTGTGCCACAATTTTGTGTGAGGAAAAGACAGAACTGAAGTAGAGTGAGAAGGTGTCACAATGAAAGGGGCAGGGCTAACAAGTATGCATGACCAGGGCGACAGATCGGTAGTCTGTGAAAACTGGCTCTTGTGATAGCCCTGGCACAGTAAGCAACTGCCATGGAGCAAACACTACTTATGAAAGCAGGTACTCTCACAAATATTATACCAGTGGAGATGCGGCTGGGTCGTTAACCTATGAACTACCACAGAAAGCAAATAGAAAGTCATTCATTTTAGAAGCGCAATCAGGCTGTCACACCTAACTATGACCACTCGGGCCACACATTTACAGATCCAGCATAGGAAACACCTGAGGCACTGTGCCGAGGGGCAGTCCATTCCAACCATGACCCTTGACTCCTGTAAGTAAAATGAGGTCAGTTTTAGCAAAGAAGTAAGAGCAGGTAGGTATGCAGAAACCCAAGAACTGATTTCAAGACTTATAAATCTAAGTAGGAAAGTATGTAATAAAAATAGACAGGGAAAGGCAATCAGAAGTTCCTGAGTCATGAAGAGAGTTTCCAACTGTGAAGCGATAAAGTAAGGACATGTGGTCAGCCACTTACATCTGATTCCCAGTAACAGTGACAGGTTAGGCTCCTTGCCCTGAGCACGCTGATTAAGAATACTACACAACGCTTTCAAGTCAAACAAACAATAAGACATTTCCTTGAACAGCTGATCAATCACAGTTAAATCAAGCAGTGGCCGTTTGGAAAGAACTGTCTGCTGCCTAGATTGGTCAGCTTCCTGGCCATGATCCAATAGCGAGCATGCTTCCTCTGTTTGTCTTTGGTTCTATAGTGGACAAGAAAAACAAAAATCAGGCCGTTAGAATGGAAGAAAGGTATGCAAAAGTCATACAGGTTACATTTTCCCTCCAGTCTATAAACAAAACAGTAGAGTCACATGAGGAAACTTCAAAAAGTCTATAGAAAAAGAATTAAAGTACAAATATGGGGGCAAAAAAATGTAAACTCCATTCAGTTTTTTCATCTTCAATGAACTTTCTGAAGACCTTTTACGCTATATGAAAATTAACCATATTAAATTGCACATACAAAGTGGGCAAAAAAATACATTTCTTGTATGCTAAAATATAAAATATATAATTATGTTAAAGTTGATAGGAACCAACAATTTCAGTGTAAGAGACAAATAAATATAAATATAAAAGAAGGGCAAAAAAAAAAAAAACCCCAACAACTCCAAATTTTTAAATTTGAATTAGAAGTATCATTGTGAACTTATGGTATACTGTGTTCAGGAAAAGCTACTCTTAACTCACTCCCAAAATTATCACTTCTTCCCCTTAAGACTTGCTAATTAAAGGTAAGTTTAATTAACTTTCTAGTTAGAACAGTACTTGAGAATAGCCAAACAGGGGCCAGCAGGTGGCATGGTGTTGGGGCACTGGACTACCACACGGCCAAGGATTGTGGTTCAAGTTGCAGACCTAGTGGCATTCTCTCTCTCTCTCTCTCTCTCTCTCTCTCTCTCTCTCTGTACTCTGCTGTAAAAAAAAGTCCATGAAATTGTATTCTAAGACATAAGGAAATTAAAAGATCATCTTTTAATTATAATTTTGTTAAGAACGCTCAGATTTAATTAATTAGTACATTAAAATCAAATCTTCAATTTAAAAATATTCCATTAATATGTACAGAACAAGCATTTGCTTAAACTTCAATAGGTAGTGAATTATCCTTTCAAACAATATGAACTTCTTACACTCACTTCAAGCAATGCTTTTGTTAATCTCTGTAGGTTTCTTTCTTTCTTTTCTAGTTCTTCCATCATTTTTTGAGTGGTCAATTTCTCTTTAGAAAGTTTCCCTTGCACAGACTAGAATTAGAAAACAAAGTAAAGCAAAGCATGTCAACACAAAGGAAATGTCAATCTAACAAGGATAACAAGAAATTCTGGCTCTGAACACTTTAAATCTCTCTTCCCCAGCCCCTTGGAAGATGAAGCTCCATTTTAAAATCAACCGATATTATTTACAGAGTGGATGAGTCCAAACAAAAAGAAAAAATATATATTCTCTTTATCAAGGCAGTTTTTAATCTAAAGTTGCTATTTAATGCTATATTACAAATAGGTCTTTTTCATTGATTTATTTTCTATCTTGGGATAGTATTTAGCAACCAATCTATACTTCCCTCTCTTTTTGTATTTTTTACATTTTTCTTACAGTTAGATGTAAGTTAATAGAATCATCTGCTTATCCATAGTGGTCCAAGGAATGAATGTGATGTTGAACTCAGGCCAAAGGACTAGTACAGGGCTTTGAAGAGGTAATTCCTTCCTTCTGCTATTAGGAAACAGTAAGTAATCTAAACAGGACATTACTGTAAGAAAACCCTGAGCACACCAGCACAGAGGACATGTGAAGAGTACTTAGGAGATTTCAGCTATCAGTCTGGTTTAAGGCTGCACACCAGAGAAAAGCTTGCTGAAAACCCTAAAGCTATTAGTGAATTCTAGGTGTTCCCATCAACTGTTTTCCTCTTGAAATCAGTAAATGTATGACTAGAGGAGGGATATCCCACCCCCCGTATTTAGTCTCAATTCTGAAACATCTGAGTACATTGACCACCTAACTGACACACAATCTGCTAAAAAGGCTTTTGTCCTCATAACCTCTGGATATAAGGAGAGGATAACTATCACTATGGGTGGAGATAAGATTCTGAATACAAATTTCCTCTCTCAGTGATACACATTCAAACTTGCTGCTTTGAAATTTTATTTGTCTTTTTTGGAGAGGTTTTTTGTGTAATAGGGCACATGCACTTGCCAGAAAGTGAGAGTGAAAGCGAGAAATCATGCCGCAATCCCTTCTCTTCCATTCTCCTCTCAGGATCTTGAGCACACACGCACACGCGCCTGGCCTGAGGTTAAGTCACCGGGTCCAGGACTCAAACCGTGGTCGACTACATGGGAGTTTAGCAAAATAGCCATTATGCCAACTGCTGGTCCCTGAAATTTTATTTGTCTTTAAACTCTAAAAAAAAATTATATTTAATAACTTGAAAGCTAGATACAAAGGAATCGAGCTCTGCAGAAAGTATATTTCTTTCCAAGGAAAACTTGTTTCAAAGTTCACAAAAATGAATCTCATAGCACAAAGCCAATATAGGGCTCTCTGAATATGTATGAATATTTTTGGACAAGGAAGTTCCTTTGTAACTTAATTTGACTAAATCAAAGCCTTATTTGATTAAATAATATATGTAGATTTATTTACTGAGTTGAAATCTCTGCTTTCTGGTCTGACAAGACTATGTGGAGAGGATCTAGAATTGAACCTAGATTTTCTGAAGATTTGTGACTGTTTATTAGAATTACAGAAGATATCACAGAAAAACTGCCCTAAAACTCACATTGCAACAGGTGTTTTCGTAATGTTATAATTATTTAAAAGATAGTAGTGTTTTATATTTATACCTTTACCATTCAGAGTCATGTTGAATGTAGTAACAGCTAGTAAACTGAACATTTTCCTATATTAGGAATGAATTTAAATTAGTAAAGAAATGGCATTCGTCTCCACCAGAATAAATCAGAAATATTTGCCAGCAGTTGTTTTAGTTCCAAGAAGGAAAATCAGATTTGAGAGCTAACATTAAGCTTAACAATTTGTACGTTATTTGGGTTCAAGAACAGTTATCTTTTATTTTATTTTATTTTTTAAAAATGAGAGAGGAAAAGGGAGTGAGAGATTGGGGAAAATGAAAGGCTTTTGTTTTCCTTTAAACTTAATTTCTTCCATGCGAGAGAGAAAGAGAGCCTCAAACAGGATCTCAAAACCATAATCCATCCCCAACTTCCAGTTAGCCCCAGATTATTGCAAATGCATACCTGGCATATTCAGGAAGGTCTCTGAAGTTGAACCGGGAACCTTCCCAGGTGGGACTGACCTGCAGTCTCGTATTTTACCACTTCACCACTGACTGGCTCGGAGCAGTATGTATTTTTAACAGGGTCTCACCACGTCACTCTCCTGCTCCAGCCTCCCAGTTGCTATGATGATGGGCACACGCCATAGCTCCTAGCCTGTTTGGGTTGGTTTGGAAACTAAATCCAGGGTTTCTGTTGGCCCAACCTCATGTGACAGCACCCTACTGCTTGTGCCACCATAGCTGGGACCTCAGAAAGCCTTTAGTAGGAGAAAAAGCTCACAGATGTGCTTCTCTTATAAAGATTAGATGCTACACAAGTTCTAGAATAGTACTAGGTATGAGGGTTACAACTGTCTGACAGTAACATTTCACTTAAAATATTACAATCATTTCTCTATCTTAAACTGTATTTTAAAAAAAAAGCCTGTTTAATGATTAAGAAAAATAAGGAAGAAGAGTAAAGTTCTACTAAGTATGGTCTTACCAGATTCAATTTAAAATAAAACAGAACAAAACCTGATTATTAAGCTAGGTCTCCCAGATGAAGCATAGTTTGGTCAGAGAATAATGCCAATTCTTATCATTTTAAATCATTCTGTCCTTTAACAATAGAGATGGGTCTGGTAAGTAGTTCCTTTCAGGCATTTTACTTAATATTTGCATGAGCTTTTCAAATATGCATTAGTATTCATGAATGCAAATGCATGATATATTTATTTTGACATATGAATCCATAATTCCATGCTATTTGTTATTTTCTCTGTGTGTGAGATAGGAAATCTAATAGAAGTCTGAGTTTTTAATTAGTTTTATCAGGAATAAAGAATGGATGTCATTTCACAAAGAATTTTACATAGTGTTTCTCGAAATCTCTAAGATTTTAAAAACTTGAGTTTTCAAATGGTAGTATTCTACTATGCATAAATGAAATGAACCATATTCTTTTCTGAAATAAGTGTTGGGCCTTGTGAAATTCAGAATAACAGTCTACTTGTGATTCCCTAGACATGCTGAGATTAATAAAGTTAACAATATAAATACATTTTCAAATGCCTAAAAGATCTCTTAAATTCCCAATGTAATAATAATTTTTAAAAAGGTTCTACTGGGGACCAGCAGACAGCATAGTGGTTATGTCACTGGACTTCCATGTAATTGACTGTGGTTAGAGTCCCGGACCTGGCAGCTTAAAATTCGTACCTGGCACGTGTGCATGCATGCCCAAGGTCTCAAGAGGAGAATGGAGGAGAAGAAACTGTGGCATAGCCATCCCTGTGTTACAGTTAGGGAGATTTCTTGCTTTCTGTCTCTGTCTCTCTGATGAGCGCACATGCCCTATAGCAAAAATTTCTCTTTAAAATAAATTTCTTAAAATGTCCTGCTGGCGACCAACAGTTAGTGTAATGGCTATGTTGCTGGACTCCCATGTAGTCGACTGCGGTTTGAGTCCCGGACCCAGTGGCTTAAACTCACGCCGGGAGCATGTGCATGCGTGCCCAAGATCCTGAGAGGAGAATGGAGGAGAAGGGATTGGGGCGTGGCCATCCCCCCCCCTGGGGGGGGTGATTTCTTGCTTTCTTTCTCTCTGTCTCTCTGTCTTTCTGGCGAATGCACGCGTCCTATACCAAAAATCTCTCTCACAAAAAAAGGGGGGGGCTCTGCTAAGTTACAAAGCTATGGGTATTTATCACAATTATTTTGAAGTTGAAAAGTGTCTTTCAGCACATCTGTTGTTTTGATTTAAGTATCCAGAAAAGCCCCATATACAAATATCTTGAATGAAGAAAAGCCAGATGTGCCTTCACTAACAGATTCTACATAATCTGCAAACTCAATTTAAGAGGAAATATTGTGAATGAAAACTTATGTTAGCAGTTTTACTGCATACACACTTACATACACACAATTATATAGAAACGTGCATGCAGGCATATGTACACACATGCCTACAGAAGTTTCACAAACACATGCCTTCATGCAATAATTCATTCACCAAAAGTCATTGCCAAATGCTGTTTGTTGCACTGGATAATAAATCAGTGAACAAAATAGTAAAATTCTTGGCCCTTGGAGAGTTTTTACTAGGAGGAAAAGACCAAAGGAAATAAAATAAGTATGTAAGTTACATAATATACAAATTCTGTTGTATATTAGAATTGACTAGTGCTACAGAAAACAAATAGAGCATGTTAAGGAAGGGGGGATGATATCTAAGGGAGGGAGAGTGGAGTTCAAGAACAGGTGACATTTGAAGAAAAGCTTGAGGAAACGATTGGCTGTGTCCTGCAGATATCCAAAAGAGAGTGTTTCAGGCAGTACAAAGGTTCTGTGGCAGATGGTGCCTTCTATGTTTAAGTAAGAGTGCCAGAGTGGCTGAGAATAGGAGATGAAGCAAAGAAAGCAGGCAGCATGGGGAACAGATTGTGCAGAGCCTATAAGCCAGTGTAAGAACTTTTTCACTGGATAAAAAGGAGGAACCACTTTAGAGTTCTGAACAGAGACAATGGTACACTATAATTCTGTCCAACAGGATCACTCAGGCAATGAGAACGCTGTGGGCAGGAAGGACTAAAGCAAGAAGAAATAATCCACGTGAGAAAGGAAGATGGCTTAGACCAGGTTGACAATGGAGGGGGTGGAGAGGGAGCCAATTCAAGTATATTTTGAAGGTAATAGAATTTGCTGATAAAGGTGAGCTAAGAGAGGAGTTAAGGATAAGTCTAAGGTTTCTGGACTCAGTAAATTGGAGGGCGGATTTGCCATTATAAAAAAATAAGGAAGGTGTAGCAGTGTCTGTTTATTCTTGGGTGGGGATAAGAAATTTAATTTGGACATGTATGTGATATGTCAAGTGGTGAGGTTGAATGGGCAACTGGATACACACTTTGGGAGATCAGGGAAAAATTGTGAGCTAGAGAAAAAAATTAGGGAATAGTGAGC